GGATGGATGGATGGATGGATGGATGGATGGATAGACAGACAGACACTGTTTTCATTTTTGCAAAATATTTTAAGGAAGTTGTCAGTAATGTGAACAAACAGGAGGGGTTGCTCTGACACTTGCCAACAATGTCGAAGGATTATGGCCGAAGGTCAGGGCTCTGTGACCTCATGCAGCCCCTAAGTCAAAACTAAGTAAAGCACAACACTGGCAACCAACGAGCTGTAGGCCCAACACTTGATGTTGCACATAAAGCTTTACACAAACACAGCCATGTCTCTTTGTGGATGCCTTATCCCTGGTGATTTACTGGCTACAGCAAGGGGAGTTGAGCAGTTGAGAAACCCCACAAAGCTTCAAGTGTTTACTGCTGTGTCCTGCTCTGGGGACAAAAGACTTGTATTGAGTGACTTCCTTTGGCATGTGATGTATCACTTGCATATGCCACTTGTATTTGCTCAAGCTGTGATGGTTCATTTCATGGGTTTTCTTTAGCTTATTGCCCCTCATTTGAGTGTGGGTGCTCTCAGATCTTTTTTTTTTTTTCCCTGATTGGAGGTGGATAGTAGGTTGGTTGGATGTGCAAACTACTGGGGTATCTCCATCTGCGGTTTCGGGGCCTTTATCCTCAGAAGCTATGCCTCGGAGAGCTGCATACGGCACGATCTTTGATAAGAAAGCATCTAATGTGAGTTACACTCTTCACATTCTTCCACCCTCCGTTCAGGAAATCCGCATCGTACGGAGTAGGTAGATACCCAAGTGGGGGGAAAAATGAAAAGCAGGATGTTTTTTTTTAATCAACCTCTGCACACAGATCAAGCATGATAAGAGTGACTAGCATATGCTGTTGTCATTACAAGTGTTGTGGCCTGCTGAGTGACGGCGTTCGGAGGGACGAAAATAGAAGCCTCCTTTGCAAACAGCTGTTGTTTGCAAGAACGTTGGAGTAAATCACAGAGGGACCTTCTCTCCACCTGCCTGGGGGGATCCGGTAACCCAAGTGCCCTCAAGACGCCAGGAGTGAATGTCCCGATGACTCCACCAAGTTTTAATTATTTTTCTCAAGTTTTAAATTTAGACCATGCTTTTTTTCTCTGCTCAGTCGGGGAAAAAATGATTCGGATTGCTTGTCTGACCCACTCTCCAATTTTCCTCACCTTATTTTTTTTTTTTTTTTTTTTTGGAGCCCAGCTCAGTCCACAGACACAGGATTTCCCGGGTGACAGTGCTCTGTGACGCTCGCTGGAAGCTGTCCAACGAGATCCTGGGGTTCTTTAGGGCATGCTATGCTGTCACAGTTCTCTGTGTCTCCTGTAGAATTTTCTTTTAGCAGAGACGGCCATGGCATGCCTCGGCTGTCCTCTGAAGCACTGAGGGTCTGAAAGGCATGACCTCCAGCCCCACCTCTCTGTCTCCTGTGTGCGATTTCTGGACACCAGTTCCGAGTTGTCTGATTTGGGGGTACGTCTGAGCTACCCATTGAGACTGTGAGTTTCTGTCGAGCAGGAACCCCATTTCTATCTTGGAGGAGCTGAGGGCCTCATCTGTGGAACTCTAGTTATTAGCAGGGATTGCCTGGGGAGTCGGACAGAGCCCGGCAGAGAGGCATGAGGGTCGAATGAGCTAGGACAGACGATGAGTTTGAATCATCCGGGAGGTTCGCCGAGTTCCTTGGCATTGCTGTCCGCAAAGTTACTTCTTGCTGAATGAGCAGACCATCCAAAGTTCACCCTGTTTCCCTCTTGGAGGAGACAGCAATAGTACCACAGCCAAGAGCTGGGATTTCTGAGTCCGACGGGCACACCCGGTGCACGTGGCCTGCACTTTCTGTGGCAGGAGGCGGTGAGCTTCCCACCCACCCGGTCTGGCAAGCGGGATGTTTGCCCGTCATACATGCCTGGAAATGCGCAACCCAGCTTCCCCAAATACGTTTTGCCTCAGGCAGCCTGCACTTGGAGGTGTCTGTCATGTGCTGCAAGCTGAAAAAAATATTTTCTTTGCCCTTGGCGGTTGGCAGAGCACTTCTCTTATAGCTTTGGGAGTTTGTGCGAGATCCTGTTTATTTGATGTGTTTGTTTCATTTCTGAACACAGGTGACAAGCCACGTGATGAGGTTTTCAGGGTGTTGGACAAAGCTGGATCTTTCTGGCTGCTTAGGCTGAGTTTAAGTTTATCAGAAAAAAAAAATGGGTGGGTTGTACCTCAACAAGAGTTTGTGTCTTTCTCTCTTGATTGGACTGGAGTCTTGGTTTGAGGGATAAAGCCTGCTGAACTGAGGTGGTCCTGTCACCCATCACCGCCTGGCAGAGTGGTAGCCTGTGACCATCTTTCGCCTGCCACTGGTGATGGTCATGTTCCTGGTCACTTGACTGAG